ACCATGTTGATGGTCAGGCGAACGGCCTCTCCGGGCATGGCCTCGACGGTGATTGATGATCTTTGCCTGAGGCCGATGCCGTAGTAGAGGATTGAGGCCCATCGGCAGGCCCACTCGGCAGCCCAGAAGAAGAAGACCAGGTGCATCCAGGGGACTTGCGGGAGACTGTGCAGCTCCAGATGCTTGTAGAGACCGAGAAGCGCAGCGATGACGCAAACACGGTGAATGTTGAGGAAGGTCTCGTAGAAAGCGTGGCGGAATGGCGACCATGCCTGGATACCAAGGAAGGTAAAGGCAACGGTTCCGACCATACCCCAGCCGTACGAGCCCTCGGTGTGGAGAGCAGCTGTAACGGCAGGCCATCCTGCTGCGAGCTTGGTGTTGTACAACCAGGCCGCAGTGTGAACGATGGCTTCCGCAATGGTGATTCGCGCAGCCCAGCGATGGAACAGGTTGAAGTCATCGTACGAGACTTGGAGGAGGGTGATGAGTGGGTTGTTGCGGAGGGCGAAGAGAACGGTGGGGATGAGGTTGAGGGCGGCGAGTGTTCCTGAGCGACCACGGAGGGCGGCGAGGGTCTCCTTGTGGTCAAGCACCTTGTAGGGAAGAGCCACACACCAGGCGACGTTCAGGGCTACGTAGATGACCAACATGATAGTGTGCCATCTGCCAGGCAGCGTTCCGTTGTCGATGGCGCTGCTGATCTGAAACTGAGCGTTGTGCTTCTTCTTCCATAGGGGTGCCATCAGGACATGGCGGTTGAGCCAAGGCCACCAGCCTGTCCGGTTGACTTCCCAGTACTTTTGCTTTGGGTTTCCCATGGCGCTCAGATGACGGCTGTGTTTCCACCACATGTTTGATATCCGCAGGAGAAGGAGGATGCCGGAGATACCTATTAGCAGGTATAGGAAGGTGTCAACCCACATGTAGTTGCCGACTTGGTCGACACCCTCCAGACCGTACGAGTATTTGAGATCGTCGAACTCAGCGGCGTCCCAGTCTGAGAGGAAGTGGCGCTTGGTCATTGGCGCGGTCGGTTGGGCGCCACGGAGGCGGAGGAGATATCTTGTGAGAGACATGTCTCGGGTATTGTGTTCGGTTGTTGAGTAGTACAGGTCGCTCGCGAGTCGGTGCTCACGAGGGTTGCTAGCTGTTGGTTCTCGGGTGTGCGAGGCTGTGTGATGCGACGCGATCGGTGAATTGTGTTGCGCACTACCAGGTGCTGTTTTCGGTGACGGTAGGTTCTTGAAGCAGGAGTAATGGCGCGACGTCGTTGTCAATGGACCTATATCCCACGCGCGCTTAACGAAGCGGCAGATGTTGACAGTGTGGGGCGAGGTTGGGTCGTGGTCACCGTGAATACATCACAATGTGTCGTGAAGGAGCCGGTGTGTAGGCACAAAGATTGAGAGAACCGACAGTGCGCTGCACGTCGAGGTGGTGAATGGGGTGGTGTTGAAGACGAGACGCGGTCCAGTCCGGTGGAATTAGTCGACAGAAGCGTGAGGCGGCGATTGCGATGTGCAGTATCGATAGCGATAGTAGCGACGGTGAAGGCGAATAGGGCCGAGGAAATTGAAAGCGACGTCAATAGACTTTGTCTTCACTAGGGGCTGAAGACGGGAAATAGGGGACTAGAAACCGGCTCGAAGACAGCGTGAGAAGCGAATGTATTGGGGTGTCCTATGTTGCCGTAGCGAGTGAGCAACAGTTGGACAAGAAACGAAGGTATGGAAACGACACGACAAGGGACGGCGAGCGTGAGGTCAGAGGGGGAGCGAGGGAAACAGTGGATATGAAGTTCGCAACATGGGAGGGTTGGTGAGGGCGTGGCAGGGGTTGGGAATCGGAACAGGCGGATGATTGGCTCCGCTGCGCCCGGACAGTCTAGGCGCTGAAACGACACGAAGGAAGCCGGCCACTCACATTGGCGTGCCTGGATGCGCCATGAAACCAAGCCTCAGCTCACCGTCTGTCCACCGCCAACGGGAATGGCCGAGTGCCTGACGGTGGGACCTGATCCAGAACCACCTGAGCACACATGCCGAGTCCCGTGTTCTGTGCGATGGATGATATACGCCTGATAGCTGATCAGCTGACCTGTCCATTCGCCCCAGACACTACCAGACACGCATTCGTCCTATCGTCCACTCTCCAAAACCTTCATCCCATCTCTTCACCACCATCCCATGTCCGCCACACCCGCTCCCATAAATCACAATCAGCCGTCCAATCTATTTCTGCCAATACGGGAGTCAAAGCAAGGTCCCTCCCAAGACTTGTGCGGCTCCAGAACTCCGGCGCCTAAAGTAGCCGCCCCAAAACAGAACAACAAGCGAGTCAACCTCATCAACAACCTGGGGAAAATCATACCCATCGGTATTGGTAAAACGGCTTTTGCACGCCTCTCATGCATCTTGACATTTCGGTCAGGCCGCCGAGGCAAAATTGTTCCTTGGTGCCGCCACGCGCTGTCCTGATGAAATCTCCACTGTGCTATTGCGTGAGCGCGAACCGGAGGAGGATGAAGAACCCTGCGCGCGAGTCGGTGTCGGAGCAGCAGTGTGATGAGGCCCTGAGTTTGAGACGCGAGGGTTCTTCCGTCTTGTCATGTTGGTTCGGTTGTCGGGTGAGTCTCATAAGCAGCTGTCATGTGAAGTTCATGCGATGGCAGCAATCCATGCGCTCATCGTGACTGCGCCACAACAAAGAAAACACGTGCAATGCCGCGGCTGCCTTTACTCGACCGACCACACGGTCCGCCGTCACTTCCTCCTAATTATTGACAATCCTAACCCTATCACCGCATCATTCCATTGAATTTCACAGCACTCACCTCATCTGCGCGACAGCAATCCTGCCATGAATCACTAAGCCCGCAGGCTGTTATCGGAAATGACTTGCGACAGTTCTCACCCCGAGCGACTCGCGCCTTCCCGTGCCTGATGCGATTCAGACTGACACCAGGGTCCCTTCCGTCTTGCGATAAGATTGAAACACCAAGACACCAAGACATCGGTTACCCGGGTCTCGGGAACACGCTCCTCGACAGCGAACTCAAGTTTGCCCAGTCGTGCTAGGCAATAAAACCAAAGATTGGCCTAATGATCGCCACAAGAACCCTACATGATCTTACACTGCGGTCATGCCATCCTCAGAACACTGCTTCTACTACGATAATCTGCCATTTGGTACCTCCGACTTGGTGTTGCTTGCATGAGCCCCGCCGTGTTGCTGCCCCTCCGTTCTGTCGTGTTTCAAACATGCGATAGCTTCGGGACAAACGCCTCCTTCCGTCATCGCTCACGGTACCTCGCGATAACGTCGAAACAGACCTCTTTGCGCCCGTCTGCCGTGAGCAATGCGCTGCCCCGCCGCCTGTCAAACAATAGCGCCTGTCAAACGGCGTAACGCCCACATGTCCAATCCTTCGGCTGCGCATGAACTCCGTACTATACCCACAACACACGAGAGGAAAATGCTGTCGCAGCTTGGTGAAGTCCGGAAAAATTATTTTCTTCCTCAGGATGGTCGTACTGCAGTTTCACATTACTCAAAGCGCCGAAGTGTCTAGTTGCGTCAACAGCTGCGCGCCTCAGACGTGCTGCAAGCTGCATCTACACTTCGCTTTCGCTTTCCAGTGCTGAGTGCCCAAAATTCGGTCCTACGCCGTCATGGCACCAACTTCCAAGAAGACCAAAAGCAAATTGTAGACTACAGAGCCTAGATCTGACCACCTGGCAGCCGATCACAAAGTCAGATTGAAGATTGTCCCTCGAGCCGCTGCACGGCCTCGTCTCATCTCATCTCATCGCATACCCAAGACACCCGCAAACGTGCGCTATACGGCCCTTTACTACACGTGCTACACAAACCACAACAAACACACGATCGCATAGACAGGTAGGTATACCTCAAACCTCTCTTCACTCCGATCACGATGCTCGTTGCCACGTTTACTTTTTCCAAACCACCGTTCTCACAAGCGTACCGAACTATCGTATTCCACAACACCCACCCCACTCCCAATCCACCACGTGCATGAACACCGATAATAAAATCTGAAAACTCGGAAAGCCGGAAACACTTCGATCGATGGAACCCGGGTCTTCGCGCAACCCGACGATTGAACCAAACCCATTATTCAGATTCCACACATCCCACTCCGTGCGGCGGGTACAGTAGTTACATTGTAGAGATTTCCATACAAAAAAGGTCCGATAACACCTACCACATTTCGATGCTTCCAGAACGCATTGAAAATACAACCCCGCTTCACCTTTCATTGAACCCACCACCAACATGGCCACCTAATCCAATCCAATCCAACCTAACCTAACACCCTCCTAGCCACCCGCCAACCTGTCAGTGAGATCAGTGTCATGCCCCCATGACCGTGAACCTGTTTCCCGCCCACTGCCCATGTCGGAAAAGCTTGACATGTGCCTGAAACACCGCTAGCGAAATGACAGCAATTGCAATCCTGTGTGGAGTTGGCGTTGGGTTGGGTTGGCGTTTACGGACGCCACAGCCTGCCTCGTCAGAAGCAGGTTGGCGTGCGCTCAACATGAAACACGGAAGTCCTGCAGGACCAAGACTTTTCACAGGACGGCCTCGGTGGGGTTGTCGGTGAGTGTGAGGTGTTGGTGTAGGAATGGACTGGGCTGGAGCTGGGTTGAATAGAGAATAACCGTCTTGACTTTGGGGCGTGGGAGATGATGGTGGTGATGAGATACGCCATGTGGAACGGGGGATGGAATGGGATGGAAGGGGACGGTGTAGGTGGATGGGTACTTGAAGGATCCCCAATGTCGACTTCGACTTCGACTGCTACTTATTCCCTCATATCGCGCCATCATCAATATACTATAGCTCGACTGATGCTTCAAATGCCCTGACCATTCATCCTCATCATCATCCTCATCAAACACCGCAAAAACCCAACATGCCACTAACAAAACACCTCACATACGCTCGTTCATTCATTGTTTACTACCCAACTACTGCGCATGACTCCCCCCAGCCGGCCCTGGCCCCCCAGCGAAATTCATCTGAGCAAGAACATCCCTCCTCCAACTATCATCCTCGCTCTCACTAGCCGTAGAATCACGGTTCGCAACACGCAAGCCACCGCCTCCACCGCCGTTCCCACCTGCTCTGCTATCGTATGAGCCGTGGCTGACGTATCGCGTGACTTCTTCGCCGCCTGCTGCGCCGTAACCCGCGTTGTAGCCTTGGCTGTGCTGTGAGTCCATTGTCCATGTCTGTTGCTGTTGTTGCATATTGGGATCTTGTGCCGTGTTATCGTAAGAAGAGTAAGGTGTGCTATCGCTGTAGAAATCTCTGTTGTTCCACGTTCCGGAGTTGTTTGCGTCGTCGGAGGGTCCTGGGCGGAGTACGTCGGGGACTTGGCCGCTTAGGCCGCTGCCGCTGGACTCGTATTGTTGCTGTTGGGGATGGTATGCGTTTTGGTAGTTGCCAGGCTGGTGCTGGTGTGCGTTTTCGTGGAAAGGTCCGGCTCGGTCGAGGGGTGAATAGTCCATTGCCCCACCGTCGTGTATTTGTAGGTTGGGGAGGAAGGACATGCGGTTGTCTGTTGGGGTGCGGTCACTGGGGTCGTGGAGTTCGACACCTTGGTACTGGCCGCCTTGTGGGTTTTCCGGGATGCTTTGTGTGTAGACGGATTGTTGGCCTGGTTGTGGGGTCATACCAGGGCTTGTTGACAGCTGTTGCTGTTGTTGTGATAGCGAAAGGCTATTCATAGTCGCTGTCATGCCGAGCAAGCTTGGTGCTCGTGTGGAACTTGCCTTCATACTCGCTGGTCCCATCCGGCCCATGCCAAGCATACTTCCGCTCATACTGGCGCGACCTGCACCGGGCTCTTCGCTGATCATTTGCGCATCCGAGCCGTTTGGATCGCGGATACTGTATTGCGCGATTGTGCGCATCTTCCTCGTCACCCAACCAGCTAGGATCTTGCCTCTTTGTTTCTCTCCGAGCCTGGATCGGTGGAAATCGCCTTTTTGTACGAAAGATACGATATCGATGACGAGTTGATGTTCGTTCAGAATGGCGTTCACGATGACGGGCACCATGCTGGCGAGGAAGTTGCGACGGAAGATCTCCACGACGATGACCACGAGGCCACCTGCTTGGAAGACAGCGCTGGGGAGAGTTAGTATGTATAGAACGGGGAAGATATTTGAAGGGTACGTACCATCCACCAGGAACAATATTCCGGTGGCAGCGCTCTACAGACTGCTCAATGTCCATCGAGAAGTGGTTGAGACCATTGACTTCAAAGGTATCACCAATGCTGCCTAGAACAAACAACACTTGCATGTCGACTGGCGCACCGTTGGGGCCTATCGGACGTGTGACGTTGTGTAAGAAGCCCAGATCTCCAGTGCGGACATATCGTACGTTAGGGTCTCCGTCGACAGTCCTGCCGTTGAAGCGCTCGGCATCCAAGCGTTCTTTTGAGCCGTAGAAGCTGTGTGCGTTCGCTTCGGACTGAACCCAGATCTCACCATACTCGCCGACCAGGCAGAGCTGATTTGTCTCCGGGTTCACGATTGATATCTGTGTACTAACAGGTACCATACCAGAGTCTTGGACTAGTAGAGCACCGGGTTCGGTGTCTGGGTCGACAGGCATGATCAGACCTCTTCGTAGGGCACCGACATCGAGATGTAGCTCTATCGGTTCGATGCACATGTATGACCGCGATGCGACCATGGGGTTCAGTACGTGTGAGTAGACGGTGTTTATCGCTGTCCGGTCGAGACTTGCTGGGGAGAAATGTACTCGTACGCGCTGGTCTGATAAATGTTAGTGACCATATATTCATCAACATTGTAATACTTACAAACATCGACACGTGGCCGGCCGTCGGTCGCAATCATGAGGTTCTTGAGCTCGTGCAGAGCCATGTTCTTTCCAGCACCCCGTGCGATAGCGTGATCCAGCATTTGGCTCGTCGCATATGCATCCTTGATCTTGTATCTCGACAAGGTCTGGAAGAGGATGTTCGGATTTTGCGCAAAGTCGACAGGTGAAACGAGGTATGTTGGCGCTGCAAGGAAGATGCCCATGACACAGGTATGTATGAAGCCAAGTCCAATGGTACTGCGCACACAACCGAGGACCGGTCTCGTGCTCGTCATCTGACAAGTTTCCTTCTGGACCTTGCACAATGCCATGATCTGGCTGTGGCCCAATTGCACAGCTATGCGGCGTTGATCAGGTGTCCAGTACGTCCATACCAAAACGGGGAATCCTGATTGTATCCAAGCGGGTCGTATCGTCAGCTTAAGATCGCGGCAACCACTAGACTGCTTAGGTGGTTTTGTGGTGTTGTACATGTTCGGTACGCTGATCTTGAGGATGACTGCTGACTGCTTGATGTGTTGCGATACTTGCTTGACCTTCATGAGGTGGTCAACATCGGCGTTGACGAGGATAGCCTTGACTTTGAAATCGGCAATGATGTGTAGCAGTGCGGGAGCATCTTCGTTCAGCCTGTTCTGGTCAATTGGTGCCATGGGAATGCACACGGCCCCGAGAACAAAGCACGCATGGACGGCATAGACGAAGTCTTCCGAATGCGTATACATCAGAAGCAGGTGGTCACCAGTCTGGACCTTGACCTTGTTCTTCAGGTACATTGCGACACCTGCAACCTTCTGGTCGAACTTCTTCCAGTTGACGCCTTTGCCCTCTTTGCCGCGGCCATCGACAGTGCAGTAGGCGAGCTCCTCAGCCTGCCGCGATACACGCCACTGCATAAGGTCGTGTATGTTGGAGAACTGGTTGAGAGGTGTTGACGTTCTATCGTCAATAACGACTTCTCTGTGATCCACTCCTGAGTACTGCTTGTCCTGTAGCATGAGGAACTGCTGGCGTGCCATCGATGCCTCGTATGACCACATGCCGCCAGCGGGGTCGTCGCCTAGCGCGATGTTCTGGACCGACCTCTCAACACCAAACTTGACGTGGACGCAGGGTAGTGAGCCATTGTCGAACTCTCTTCGGCAAAGCATATTTCCAATCTCTCGTCGACCATTCTTAATGACTCGGGGAAGCGTGTTTGGTGCTGTGATCATCACACAGTAGACCCGTAGGTGATGCTCTTGATACAGTACTTCCATGCATCGCTCAGATAATGAGTCCAAGAAGGGAATGTCAAGCTGTTGCGGTGGCCCGCCTGGGTTTGTGGGCGCAGTCGATGCGGCTTGTGTTTCGATAAGGATGATAGGCAAGTATTCGCCATTGACGTACGAGTCGAAAGATGAACTACACGGTGTTAGTTTGATCACACGTGGATCCGATACACTTACCAGTCGTAGATCTTGGGCACCGCCTTCATAATGCTGGTGACAAGATGCTGCACGAAGAAATATCGGTGTTCGGCCTCCAGCTGACCATGCTCTACCCATTCGACACGCTGTCGGATACGGTCCTCGTACAGGCCCAAGACGAAGATCTTGCCTTCCACTACGCATCCGAGCAATCCAGTGCGTAGGAATTCGAGTTCGAGCAGTTGTGGTGTTGGGCTACCCTCTACAAACCGATATGGCCGGGCGTGGAATATAGTTTCAGTATGCTTTTGCAGCTGCCAGAAACCTCCAGATAATGATGGCGAGTCTACCCAAATCTCTCCTATCGAGTAAGGGGAGCACAGAAGATTAGTCTCTGGGTCTACGACGGCCAGCGTCGCATCGGGTATTGGGTAACCAAAAGCGCCGACTCTCATAGTGCCGGGCTCGTTCACACGCTTGCTCACTTCCTCTCCTATGGCCAAAACCACGACTTCATTCAACTTCAGTGCTTCCTTGTCCAGCAAGATCTCGGTCAACTCTGTTGGGCTCTTCTTTTTCTTCTCCTTGGTGTTGTTCGTGGTACCCCCTCCGATAAGACTAGAATAGCCATTGGCTGCCGCGGCTTTGTCGTCGACCTCATCTTCGTTGTCGGATTCCTCTGACACTATGCTCAATGGGCATCCCATGCGCTCTTCGCCGCCGAGCCAATCCCGTACTGATATTATCATACCGCCGTGTTCAGGCAAACATAACATGGGCGCGATCAGCTCTCGTGCTCTGGGATTCCGTAAAGGTCTGAAGTAACGGTCTCCAAGAATCTCGTGAAATTCGCAATCGACAGTGAGTGTGTCGATTAGACATATCTTCACTGAGCCAAAATTGGGTTCCGTGTTCTTCTTGAAATTACGAGTAGCCATAGGATCCTGTTGATAATTGTATGCAGCGCGCTTGAGACCCGGGTAGTCGGCGATCAGTATGTTCGACTTGTACTTGGTGATGAGGTGCGCGTATAGACCAGGTGTCTCCATGGTCGGCGTTTCCAGCCAGACGGTAGTGTGACCACCATAGACGGCAAATAGGACGCTCAGGATAAGACCAGCGCTTTCACGGGGGTCGAGGTAAGAAAGAATGACTTCGGTAGGTGCTCTGTTCTGCACTGGCGCAACGAACTTGCCAGACGAATCCCTCAAGTTGCCGTTAAAAGTATCCTGACTATTCGGGTTGTTGGCGGGTATGGTGCTGACCATGGCGCTGATGCAAGCCATCTGATGCATGATGGTGCGGTGGCTCAGTACAACACCACGCAAGTCGCCGGTTGGTGCGCGAGAGAACTCGATATATGCTACCTCGGGCACTTGCAGGGCGGGCGTGTCGTCATGCTTCTTGGGGTGGTAACTTCCAAACTCGTTCGTCTTCCACCATTCGACGCCACTCGGCCACTTGAGACGATTCTGGCTGATGTCACGGTGGAAGGCTTTGAGGTTGTTGTCCGTGGTCAGTGCGAGATGTGCTTGGGTTGTGGTCAAGAGGAGGATGAGTTTCTGATAGTCGTCGACGCTATTGATGGGAACTGCTACAACGCCCGCGATGAAGCATCCCATCAAAGCCACGACAAACTCGATGATCTCCGTATCCCTGTATACCAGCGCCACGCGATCGCCCCGATAAAGATTGCTCTTGTCCCTAATCACTTTGGCGACCTTTTCAGCGCGACTGGCCACTTTCTCCCAAGTGATGGAAGCCGTTTCTTTGCCCTTTGCGTCTAACACCCAGAAAGCGGTAGTCCTCGGCTGTGTACGAGCGCGGTAGCGTAGTACAGCACCGATGTTGTCAAACTTGGACATCTTGATGTTGTGGTTGTGAGGGTCGTATACGTCGAAGGGCAGGTCTCGCGGTTCCAGTGGCATCATCGTGTCTGCAGCACCCACGGGCAGGTCGCTCGGGTTCATCATGGGCGGTGGTATCGCAGCGGTCGGGGAGAAGGCGTCGCCCGTCGAGTAGCGGTTCGGTCCGCCGTACGAGTCGCGCTGGTCCTGCATCTGCTGCCCTGTGAAGTCGGAGAAGTAGCCCTGGTTCACGTCCAGCATCGTGCTCCTCCTGCTAGCCTCTCCAGGCGACCCGTAGCCATTTTCAAAGCCTTGCTGGGTGTCCGGGTTGAAAGCGTAGTTGCCCATCATCGTGGGTTCGCGCGAGTAGGTGTACTCGGGCGTCTGGGGTCGGGGTATGAACGTCTCGCTCCCTTGCGACAGCTGTGAGGCATTGCGCTGCAGCGAGGTAGTGCGCAGGCCCAACTGCTTCTCCTGGAAGCGCCCTACTTGGCTCGGTGGGTATGCCATGTATTGCGAGTTACCGCCTGCGGTGCTCGTCGAGGAGCTGGGGTAGTGCATCGACGAGCCCATGGTGCCCTGCGGCGAACTCTCATGGTACGAGTCGGGTCGGGGGAGTTCGATGTGCGGCGTCTGTTGGGTCTGCTGTGGGTTTGGCCCAGAGAGGGCGGCGAGGGATGCGCTGCGAGAGCCTGAGCCCTCGCTCTGGGCGGGGCTCTGTCCGCGCAGGTCATGCTGCAATTGCGCTGAGAAGTCGGGCCCCAGGTACTGCGAGAGGAGGACTGTCTTGCGCTTTTCGTAGCTGTGCGACTCGTTAGCGCACGTGGGGGAGGATGCGAATGTTCAATGCGACAGAGCCAGCGGCAGCGGCCGTGTATATGCATGCGGGAGAGTACCAACCCCTTCTGTGTGATGTCGCCCTCCTCGAGTTCGTGGTCCAGCTCCTGCAGCTTGGCCTGCAACTCCGGGTTCGTCTCGGCCATGGTGTCTCTTTCCTCCGGCGGCGCAGTCAGGTGGAGCGAATGTTGTTAGGCTATGCGGTGGCAATCCGCGACATGCTAAAAGTAAAGATACGAGGCGCCGTGAGCCAATGCGAGGGGGTCAGGCAGAGAGCGCGCGTGAAGAATGGCCAAAAGGGAGTCCCAGATTGGAATAGACCCTGTTGTCGAGTGCCTGAAAGCGCACATTGGCCTTCAAACAAGTCAGGTACGCAGGCCACCACCGGACATCCAGTATGACGTTCCTACCCCAGAGCAGCCGCGCCTTCCTCTTGGCGCTCAGTGCCTTCCTCACTGGCCGCCTTAGTCAGCCGGCCGTTCGTCGCTGCCCCTTGCGCGTGGTGGTACCTGCTGCGACATGTGGGTTTGCGCGTTATGCCTCGGCTCGAGGAAGCTGAAGGTGTGCCGGGACGCGCCCGAGTCAAGTAAAGTAATCACCAGCACGCTCTCTTCTTATCTTCTCCTGGCCAACTATCGCTAGACCTCACTACTTGCTTGTCCAGTATCTATAATCCGACACAATGGCGACACTCATCCGCCCGCCGCCCATCGACCAGTCGCAATCCGAAATCGAAAATGTCCTCGAACTGACGCAACTGTCCGACATCGACCCTGACCTCTTCACCAACACGCGCCCACTATGGCATCCACCGGGTGCGCGCGGTATCTTCGGTGGTGCGGCCATCGCCCAGACGCTCGCTGCAGCCCAGAAGACGGTTGATCCCGAGTTCACTGTGCATTCCATGCACTGCTACTTTGTGCTTGCCGGCAACTCAGAGATACCACTCATATACCATGTAGAGAGAGTGCGATCAGGGAAGTCCTATGCGACAAGAACAGTGCAGGCGCGCCAACGGGGCAAGGTCATCTTCACGACAACTATGAGTTTCGTGCGCCAGAACAGCGGAGGAGCGAAGAAGGTCGAGCATGTGGTCCCAATGGCCGACGTGCCAGGGCCAGAGGAGGACTCGGACTCAGAGATGCATCCCAGCGGCCACAGCCCGTTCCAGAGCCAGAGGCTGGCGACCGAGAATGGTAAGTGCTTTCACATGTGAAGCGTCATGGCCCGGCCTAACCCCGTCCAGAGGACTCCGACAAACCTCACACCAAGAAGTGTCGCCAATGGGTGAAGGCACGCGGTCGCATCTCCCCCGCCGGAGGCCACGAGGCCCACCTCTCCGCCATCGCCTACATGTCCGACAGCTACTTCATCGGCACCGTCGCGCGCGTCCACAAGCTATGGCGCTATTCCTCACAACGCAAGAGTGCTGCTAAGTCCAGCATCGGCGAAGACGTGCTCAAGACACTGCTGGAGATGGACGATGCCGAGTTGAAGCGTCAGTCCGTCAGCGAGGCAGACATCAAGCGCATACAGCGCATCAAGAATGGAGAAGATCCAAAGAAGGTTGCAGATGACGTGCCAGAGATTGGCATGATGGTCAGTCTGGACCATACCATTTACTTCCACAACCCCCGTACCTTCAGGGCCGATGAGTGGATCTTCACCGAGACGGAGACTCCCTGGGCTGGCGATGGTCGTGGCCTCGTCTTCCAGAGGATGTACACGAAAGATGGAACCCTTATCGCGACCTGCGTACAAGAGGTAAGATTCTCGCTCCTCCACCATACACTCAGCGATGCTAACATGATCAGGGACTTATTCGACTTAAGCAGAACGACAGCAAGTTGTGAAGACGCAGTCATGTTCCGGTCTTCTTATTTGCGTTCTCACCCACCCGCTTGCATAGACTACATCCTTTATTGATAGATCAATTAGACCTGACCAGACTCTCTGAAATCTCGCTCCCTTTTTGCTCGCGTTCTCATGACTTTTCATACATACCCAGGCCGACCCGCTTCCCAGCGAACGGGTATGACGTGCTTCAGCTCACCCGCTCGACATTCACGTGTCGATCAGTGCACATTGATACCGGGGTACCCACAAATGAGTATCGACATCTCAATGACTGGATACGACCAACACGAAAGGGTCCAACGATCTAGCACATGTGTTACCGTAGCCTGTTGGCTCCAGAGAAGCAGAACAAAGAAACAGACCACAACACGTCAGTAGCTCCTTCCGCAGAACCCAGGAACGAGCACCGCGGCTTCCGGTGGAACCTTCCGCCTGCCACCAAGCACGTGCGATGACCGGAAGCAACGGCTAGCTTGGCCTCGTTGACGCATACTTATGGTACACGGTCGCCGCTGTCTGCTCGACATTACGCTTCCCTCAGCTCTTACTCACTCACAACGCAAGGTCGTCCTCACACACCCCACCTCTCACAACTCAATCATAGGACACATACCACCCTCCAGTCCGCTCGAGAGCATGACTACCGTTACCGGGCTGCCCGTGCCGGAGCGGGCAAGCGGCAGGACTCATATATGATGTGGGTGGTGACTACAGAACGCGGATGGGTGTTGGCTCTCGTTGAGTCTTCGTATACGAGGTCATGGCTTCGTGTGAGTCGAAGGTAGGTATAAATTCTTACGCTCTGGGTGAAGATGTGCTTCTATTCCACACGAAGAGTAAGGTGTACGCTATCATCAATTACGACAACTGCAAGCAGCTACGAACGAACATCGGCAGAGCAAAACGAAACCCTAGACTCATCGATTGAGCCATTAGAAAGAACGATTTGCAGGATCGACAAGCCCTCGCAATGGCGGAACCTCAAACAGAAACGTATCCATTTTACTCGCAGGAATGGCAGGACGCGGTACCGACAGCAGAACAAAAGGACTTCGTCAAAAATCCATCGAACAACTGGATCAAGTGCGCCTGGCCCAACATCACTGACAATCTCGATTATGAAAATGCCCGTCGGTTCGGACATACAACTAATCCCAAATGGGTCAATAAATTCTACGCGTTGTTCTTCGATGGTGGATGGCAGGGATCAGCAAGCGTCGTGGATGAGGGTACACTTATAGAAAAGAAGAAAGCATCCATTGTTCACGAAATGCCGCGCATCATTGGCGCCTTCGAGCCACCTTGTTCAGAAAACCAAAGGATAATGAGCTTCTGGACCAACAGTCAGGCACGCCGCGATGAGGGTTTAGGCCCGGTCAGGGTGATCGATACGACAGGAACTATCCCCTACTGCGACATTCAACTAGGACGTGTGTGACCCAACTGGTTCGTGAATTCAAGACCGACCACTGACTGATCGCAGTGCTCATTGCCCTCATGATGTACAATGAGAGAACGACATGGAGTAAGGACGACTTCGAGGGTCAACCTATCACGCGAGAAGACTTGTTCCTTACACCCTTGGTAGTGATGCAAGCCATATCGGAAGACGAAGAAGACAAGATCAACAAGTTTCTCAACAGCTTGAAGGATGGAATTCCTGAGATTGTGGTCAAAGGGCGACGTCATCAGCGCACGTCAACACCAGGGCGGGAGGCGAAAGCAATGGGTCAGTACATTGAGGCAGTGAAAACCCCTCACTGAGCTTTCGCATTTCAAGTGAGTGGAATTTGGTTCCCCTCCTTGATGGCCTCTGATTTCATCTTACTCTTCTTTATCGTGTGGCAGCATATTGTAACACTGTCCATAATGAGTCATAATCTCCTAGAATATGTCTTCAAAACTAGGCTTTTCAAACACTCGGCTCATCGTGGCGGCATTCTTAATCATAGGCTCGAGCATGAACCGATGTAGAAAGCATCATTTGTATCAAAATCCAAGGCAGTTATCATACGCGCTCAATCGGAAAGCATGAGTTCAGCTTCCGACCACGTCTACCACAATGCGACACGGAGAAAACATATGCATAGTAAAAAGTTCATTTCATCATCACACTACCTGCAGCCCCCTAGTTCGTAAAATCCTTCTTCGGCGCCTCCCCCTCCTCCTTCCCACTCCCATACTTCCTCACATGCTCCTTATTCGCCCCCTTATCTGCCTCAAACTCCTTCAACTCCGGCGCACTCATATGCTTAACCACATTATCCGCCTGCCACTTCTTAAAGCTAAACCCGACCCCCTCATGACTATAATCCTTATCATTCGCCTGATCCTTATGATATTTCACCTGCATAAACTCCGTATCCCGCGTTTCCGGATCCAGACTCAGCGAGACCAGGCCCGTGATGGTGGCCGTCTTTGGGATGAGTTTGAAGGTCCAGGACTGCTTGTTTTTGAATTGGATCATTTCGGAGTCGGAACGGATTACTTGGTAGGATTCGTTGATGGAGGCGTTGAAGAGCTTGGGGAGCGCGAACCATTGGCCGGCCATTTTGTAGCGGTCGTTGGCGTAGACGAATTGGTCGTCGTAGACGCAGTCGGGCGTGTAGCGTTTTACGCGGGTGATGGTGGGTTGGCAGGAGTAGAGGGCGATGATCTGGGGGTGGGGTGTCAGTCTTTGTGTTTGGATAGGTGTTGCAAGAGAGGTGGGCTTACGTCGTCGACTAAGGCCTGGCGTTGCGGGCTGAGCTTGATGCTCTTGCTTGGGTCGGGCTCGTAGTCTTCACTCGTAGCCGTCTGTCTGGGCTCAAACTGCTCGCCGGGCGCATCGCTCGTCTTGGGGAACCCTGAGTTCCCGCTGCTGACGATATCGCCCGTGGCCTGTCCGGTCGTTGAAGTCGACATCTCTGCTCTTTGCTGTCCGGCTGCTAGTCGTGGCGGTGGGTTGCTACCGCTTGGATTGGATTTCTGCTCTGCGTTCCAAAGCTGCACGGTAAGTGCTTTCTGAGGATGCTTGAGGGCGGGTTTACTGATAAAGTTCTTGAAATTGGTTGAGAGGAGCTTGGAGCGAGAGCCACTGGTTGCTGCAGGCATGGAGTTTGGGTTGTCGGAAGCGGAATCCATTGACGCGGTTGTGTACTATATACGTGTTGTACTATGTTGACGCGTGCATGCGTGAGCGTAAGATGACGACAGAGTTAATTGACAGTGATGCTAGATGCGGGAGTCGATGATTCATGGACTCGAAGATCGGGAGATCCAAATGTTCACGCGCGCCTTTTGGTGTAAGGAAAAGGATGGGGGTGGGCGCCGTGACCTGCATCTTGATCTGAGCCCTAACATGGGATTTCAGGGCAGATTTGTGGAGAAGCGTTGCGTATGCCATGGGATTTGGATGTGTCGAGGGGTGCGGGTAAGGCTGATCGGCATCTTTCGGGTGTTGCGGCATGACGTACGGTAAACTTCCTTTTCAGGCAACTTCGGATTGCTGTCGATGGCGGTGTTAGCGTGTATACGCGCGCTGACCCCCTGGAGCGATCAGCCTGATCCGGCTTACCAGCCTCGCAGCACCTGCGCGCTCCCTACGCGTCGAAAGAGTCAGAATGACAATAACGACGCGAGTCACCATCATCATGAAGTACGGAAGTCACAAGCTATACAATGGAAAGCGATGCGATCGACTCAACCAAACAAAAAAAAGCGCGTCGCGCAAGTCAAGCACTCAATGGTACTTTCTCAGAAGCCGGTTAACCTCGTGATAGATTACTACTACAGTTACATGAGCTATCTAGATTACAATCAGAAGGCCACCGTCATTACTTTTCGTTCGATACATTACTCCAAACCATTCCGCGCAGTCGCGTATCGCAGGACACTGTAATAAATGCTTGCTGATAGGGCGCATACAAAACGCTCATGGCCAAGCCATGTGACGCATTCGCCATGACCGGGCCACGCCGCCGAAGAAGAGTAGTAAAGGTCATTAGTGATTGCAAGAGAACGTCGTAATGCGTTGCCCGTCTATCCTCCGTGTGCCCGTGTCGTCGTTGTGTGGGGGATTAAAAGGGGGTTGGGTGAAGTCTTGCGATGAAGGAGAGTAAGAAAAGCGAAAAGTGTGCTTTTGTACATCTTGTACAAAGTGTGGTAAGAGTCCACCGCTTAGACGAAGTAAGCGAGAGCGGCAGCACCGGCCATGAAGGCAGCGAGGGGCTTGGTGGAGCTAGCAGCGCCAGTGTACTCAGGGTAGCCGGGGGAGGTAGCGGATGAGGCGTGTCCAATGGATGATGAGGCGGTACCGACGGGTGTGGAGGCGTGGGAGGAGGCAGGGGGGACAACGACAGTGGTGGTCTCCTCAGCAGGAGGAGGAGGGGCGTATCCGGAGGAAGACGCCTCGGGGACGACGGGAGTGGAAGTCTCCGGGATGGGGACAGACTCAGTGATAACAGGAGGGGGAACGGCGTATCCGGAGGAAGACGCCTCGGGGACGACGGGAGTGGAAGTCTCAGGGATGGGCAAAGACTCAGTGATAACAGGGGGGATGGGCACGGAGGAGGTGACGACGGGAGGGATCACAGGGTAGGTGGAAACCTCCGGTACGGGCACCGACTCGGTAATGACAGGAGGGATGACTGGGTAGGTGGAAACCTCCGGGACAGGTACAGACGAGGTGACGACGGGAGGGACGACTGGGTAGGTGGAGACCTCCGGGACGGGTACAGACGAGGTGACGACGGGAGGGACCACGGGGTAAGTGGAAGCCTCGGGTACGTAAGGAGTGGAGCTGGGAGGAATGACAACAGTCGAGGTGATGGTGACCTCAGTGGTGCTGGAGACCTCTGGCACGTAGGGCTTGGAGCTCGAGTATGGCACGTAGGGCTTAGAGCTCGAGTACGGCACGGTGATGGTCTCAGTCTCCGGGCAGGGAGAGCTGGAGCTCACGGGTGGTACGTAGATGGAGGTGGACGTAACGACCGGGGGAGTGTAGGTCGAAGTCACAACCGGAGGAGTGTAGGTCGACGTAACGACTGGAGGAGTGTAGGTGGAGGATGGCACAACAGGTGTGCTTGACTCCGGGCACGGGGTGCTGGAACTCGCGGGCGGGGTGTAGATGGAAGTGGACGTAACGACTGGCGGCGTGTAGGTCGAAGTTACAACCGGAGGAGTGTAGGTCGACGTTACAACAGGAGGAGTGTAACTGGAAGACGGCACAACAGGAATGCTCGACTCCGGGCAAGGCGTGCTGGAGGAGGCATGGGGGACGCTTGAAGACTCATGGACCGGGTAGCTGGAGGTGACGACAGGTGGGACGTAAGTCGAAGAGGTCACAACCGGAGGCATGCTGCTGCTCTCTTCCTCGCAAGGAGTGCTGGACGCCTCGTAGGGCTTGCTCACGGATGGAGAGGCACCGTATCCTGACTGAATGTTGTTAGAACTGAACGCTTCAACAGCTGACGGTACTTGTGTTAACATACAGAGGAAGGCACAGCGTAGCCGCCGCTGCTGGAGGCGCCGTAGCCGCCACCGTAGGGAGCAGCGTAGACAGCGCCCACAAGGGCCATCGTTGCCATGGAGTATCTCATCTTGTTCTGACGAGAGGTGTCGGAGGTATTAAGGAGTAAAGAGTATTACTAGGTGATGGGTGCGAAGCGAAAGTAACAGAGCAACCGTAACGAAAGAGCTGCTGTGTTGAAGATCGAAGACTTGATGAAGCTTGAGAGGCACGATAGATGAGACTGAGGAGGAATGCGAACCTAATATACTCAGTAGGAGAGGCGGGATCTTCACACCCTACCAGCCTTCTGCTTTGCCCTACCCATGGGAAAGCCACAACAGGGTCGCATCCACGCACGACGGTTGAGGGGCTCCGAAGTCGTTCCCCACATTCATCCGGACGTTTTTAGTTCCAAATCACCTCAAGTCGATCATGTTCGTAGTCTCGGCCATACCACGGGATGAGGCTCCCTCAGTATGGCAGGCGTCTCTAAGAACGTTTGCTGGCCAAGTTTACCCTAGCAACCGGTTGCGAAAGATCGCTGGTCAGCGAGCGACTTACCTGAATTGTAGCTGCATGCATAAGCCTACCAGGATAATCGGTGGTTAGGAGAACACGACGCCCTGCCTTCTCATGCATGCTGACTTGGTGACCGTTTTGGTAGCCGCAGAGGTTGGAACTTACAGCTGTATTCCAGCCACCCCACAAACCGATGGTGAGTGGCAGTGACATAACGTTGTCCAAACATGGCATAAGTCTTCAGCCGCACCAATGAAACGCCATCGAAACGTTTTCCTGTATTCAATGTGTCACTCAGTAACACGAGGGTCATTCTGTGAGTCCGAAATTCAAACAACCAAGTATATTTGCGCGGACTGCAGGGCCGCTAAGACATCGTGGGCTTTGGTCTGTCGTGAACACAAGCTGTGCACCAACACAATGGGACCTCGGCTGACGGCGGTCTCAGTGGAATCTTGCACAGCGATAAACAAGCTTCCTTAGGCGTATTGTTGAGAAACTGTACAACGTTGCGACCACTCACTGTAGCAAGGATTATCTTACATCATCCCGAGAACTGCGCGTGAATTGGGACGCGCTGACCAAACTTTCCACCTCTTTGCACGCGACAGAACTGTAATAATGGGATCCGTGCATGGCGCGGACTCTCCTCCGTTTCTTGCTGTCCTTGGAGCGTGGCCGGTCTCAATCAATAGCCTTGAGCGTATGTACCAGCCACTGTCAGGAGCTAAGACGGTGGCTTGCAGGTGTGTTTATTGAAAATCCAGGGTGTTTCCATATCGTGAACTTGTCGGCGCATTGCGATTGGCGGACTCATTGGAGGCTGGTAGTGTCCCAGCCAGACTGCCGCAACGTTCGCATGCCTCGCTACCCCGCGTTACCCCGATCAGTGGGCAAGCACAGTAAGAATCAGAGTTTTCCTGACTGTCGTTGTACGACCGGCTGCGCGTCAGCTTACGGCAGCTGTAAATAGTTCCTGCAGCAGCTGCCGCCGCCGTTCGGAACGTAATTAGCTGATTGCGACTGGCCCCAACCTAGCAAGGACACCTAGCCGTATCGCGCATCGTACTTAGACTTGGGTTCCAGACGAAGGTTGTTGTGGTGTTCGGGCGAGCAAGAGCTGCCGCGCACACCTGCAGTTCAGCTACCCGGCGCTTCGTACAAGCGTCCGCGAACGCGTAACGGTTCAGCGGCAGCCTCAACCCTGCATACGTGTGAGCAGCAACACCTTCACCAATATCACCAGGTCATGTCTTGGCCGACCAGCAGATCGCGGCCTTGGTCCGGCTCAACCCAAAGTTCGGCTTACGATCAGGAAATAGAGGCCTTCCAACAGCGCGCAACTTGCAATGCGTTGCCCTGGCGATCAAGCCCGAACTGCGGCGTAACGAAGCACGATGCATCACGACTAATTCACTATGATGTCAGTATGGGAATTCATCGCATGCTCTTCCAAAGCCGAGCTCCATGTGGTTCAATCTTTCCACGTTCGGTCTTCCCTGTACCGCCATGGCGGCGCCTCAACGTCCGTCAGATGTCGCAGTGCTTGCTCAGTGATGGAAAGCTCTCCAGAAAGTCCGGCCCTGCTTAACCGCTAGGAGTAGCGCAAACGTATGTGTTGTAGTGGTGTCACCAGAGTGTTGTGTCGCGGATCAATCAGTCGTGGCTGACGGTAAAATCCTTGTGTATTGAGGCCGGTGGCAGACGCGCTGTCGTTTCCACGAAGACGCTGTGCGCCAGCCACGCGTAAGACATCAAGCTCGTTGCGACGCGACTAATCGTCGTCATCGCTTTCCGTTCCGCTATCCCAGCCTTCATCGTATTCTTCCGCGAGGACTTGTAAGCCGTTGCATAGCGCTTCCTTTTCTTCAATGCCACCCATTCGCTTGACGATCTGCTCGACTGCTCGGATCTGATCAGCGACAGTGGTACTTGTCGTCAGCCCCGTATGTACAGCAAGCTTAGTGGAATGACCGGACCCTACGTCCAGCATCGAACGAGGAAAGCTGTCAAGCAAATGAAATAGTAGCGGTGCAGCAAATCTGAAACGCGTCAGCCTGAATTCCTCGCTTTGCGCCCAATTTGCAAGCGCTGATAATACGATATACGCATCGATGGTGATGAAGTGACACATACCTTTGCACTGCTGGTCCGTTATCGAACCTGTCATGAGGATCACGTTCGTTATCTTCAGACAGGGCCCACTCTCCACGAGAAGCCTCCGCTCGCCCAAAAACGTGCTCTTTCTTTCCTTTCCTGGTGGCCGTTCTATAATCGCGAGTGAAGGTATCAATGTCGAAATGGCTTAGTCGATCGTCGCCCTCACTTGTCTGCCTTGATGTCATGGAACCAACCTTTTCCGCTTTCTCGGCTTCATCGAAAGCCTTATCTGACAGTACCTCCGGATCTGCAGCACTCATCTCGAGCTTCGCTATACGTCGTTTCCCGGTACTGTTGATAGTGTTTTCCAAGTCCTGAAGCGTTCCGCGTCCGCCCAAAGATGCTCTCAAACGTGAGGATATGGTCATGCTTTCCAGACCCATGACTTGTAAAGCTGCAATATGCCAGGGAGAAGTCGCATCTAACGATAGATAGCCCGGTAGTTTGGCAGGGATATTCGACATCGGGACGTATACTGACGACTGCTCCCCAAGTATTTGAAGAGATCGCGCAGAATTCGCCACTTGTTGTATGCGTCTTTCCTGCTCTATGTTAGTCTTGAGTTTCTCCAAAAACCTGAATAGGAACGTACCCGAGGGGTCGACGAGTTGGCACCATGGTCACCTAAGCCCCACGTCCAAATGCTCATCTTGCCGTATTCGTCTCTAAGCCTCTCAAGCCATCCCGAGGCCCAACCACCCCAGGCGTCATCAACACCCGTGAAGATCTGGAGCCCTTGAATGCCATCACATTCTTCGACGAATGGTCGTAGATCTCTGTCAACCAGATCTACTTCCCTTTCAAGCTTCTCGAAAAGCTCCATTCCTACGTCCCAGCTCTCAAAGGGCATGAGCTTGTCGTTGACGTCGAACTCCGACAGCTGAACAATGGACTTTGGATGGTAGTAGACACGGCTATAATCTGACCAATATCTGACAGACGATGTACTGAGCGGAGGAGGCTGTAGGCCGGCATCGAGGTGCTCTTGATAGGCTGATTGCGGGATAGTCTCTGTCGCGCGTTGAACAATAGGCTTTGATGGCCAAACGCCGTTCTGATCCAATATGCTCCTGTCATCTTCGGCCTCGTACAGCGCATTGATCTTTCTCATGCTACCAAAAGCACCTTTGAGATCGTATATGAGCGTCCTTGGCGTGAAAGTATCGGACCCATCTGGAGCAACGCCTGGCCTGAACAGTATGTCATGGTTCACAGGCGACTCTGGCTCAGGTGGATATGTGAAGTAGGATTCCTGCGGAAATATTAGATGATGCGGCAGAACGCCAAGAACTCGCGACTTACTTGTGTGTTCCAGAAATGAGTGCCCAGGTAGTTGCTCTGCTTGCCGAACTGTAAAGTCACGATTTCGTGCATGGCGACAAATGAGGTGTAGTCTGTTCCAGGAACGGGGTAAATACACGATGTCTTGGTGTTGATGTGAGAGCGAGAGATGAGTTGACTGGCGATGGTGCAGGCGGAGATAAACGGTGATTGGTGAGATCAAGCTCTGTCATTGCCCCGCACGTGCACACGCGATGAGGAAAGAACGACTCCACCAAGTTGTTGACAACGACCTGTGGCGCGACTAACGAAAAGGCCGTGTCTTCGTAAACGTTTCCGCAGTGTAAAGCAATGAGGTGGTTGATTTACATACAAATACTCGATCATCCTATTCAACTCACTTAGCCCATGAGCTGCAACTGATCCGTTGGCGGCCATCTCGTCTGCGCAAAGCTCAAACACCGCTTGATACTCTGCAGATACTTCCGGGTCATCTCGTCACTCATGATATGCGCCGCATTCTTATCGCTCTCGTGCAGCTTTTCTCGCGCGCTTCTCTCGTGAATACCCACCATGGTAACACCAATAGGCCACGCCGCTTTGCCGATACTGAGACGTAGATAACCATCGTTCGCGTCGACGTATCTTCGCTCCTGTGCAGCGTGCACAATCTCCACAACGGGCTCGACGATACTGTCTGGAAGGTCAAACTTCTCTAGCTTCTTGAACAGTGGTCGCATGTTCTCGCGCGCTTGTACCATGGCTGCGTAGGCTTGTTTTCCTTGGTAGCTCTCTTTGACTTCGGGGTCTCGACGTAGGAGCGTGAGGTCCCATTCTTTCAGCACCATGGTGAAGTAGCTCGCCAATTGTCTGAAGAGGAACTCGCGGCCCTCCTTGTCCTTGGGTACTTGGGGGCTGACCTTCATGTCCTTCTCCGGCACGAGTTGTAGTGTTGTGGGTATCGGACCGTCCGTCATGATGGCTGCTAGGCTGTCTGCGCCGACGCGCTTCTTGTATCGCTTCAGGCGTTGTTTGTGTGTCTCGCCGAATAGCCGCGCTGGCTCATCGAGGGCTCTTAGCTTTGCGACTAGTTCTTCGTCTTCGATA